AGAACCAGTAGGGTTTCAACTCTTGACCTTTACTCTGCCAAACCTACGCTTAGCTGATGTAGCAATCTAGGAATTGTAAATAAATAGCACCAAAATTTGTGTCCAGTAAATGGGCCACAAAGTCTATGCATAACCATTGTCTATATGTAAGGGAGATTACTCTAAATAGAAAAAAAACTGAGAACTCTTCTTCCGGATTACAATTAACTGATGCAGACTATGGTACCCTTAACGTGTAACAAAGCAAAAATAAATGAAAGGAAACAAAGGGTGTGCATATCTGAAATTTAGCTCTATTCCTACTTTCACTATTGAGCAACATGATGCAGACAATGCTCAAAGTTTAAAAAGTATAGGGACCATTTTTTACATAACCCTCATTCTGGGTGAAAGCTTAAGGGTAACATGTAATCTCATTGGAAACCATTTATTACATCAAGATTTACTCAGGTATTTATTGTCTGATGTATATTTTAGTAATTTTGAAAATTATTCTGTTCGACAAATCATGCTTGGATATTTTGTTGAATTGAATTTCATGAAAGAAATTATTTTCGCATTGTATGGTGTTTCATTTTTAGAAAACATGCTTATATTTGAGTGTTGTAACTGTTCATGTACTTCTCATACGATATTATAGTTGTTGTACTTCTGTAATTTGAAGGACTTTGAAAGTTGATCAACACTTCAGTTATGTTATATTTAAATCTCTTTCATTTTTAAGTACACACGAGTATACTGCTATACTAATGCATCACATTATCATGTAAAACATTAATAGGCAGCCTCAAATCATTCAGTTATAATGACCGATATTTAAACAGATTCAATGCTTTTCATTTCTGCTGTACTGTGAGGTTTCTTCAGCGATAATGATGTTGGATTTTCGTTAGAAAGATATTGATATCTAAAACCTAATGAGTACCACTTGGTGTAAATACTTCAACGATAGATAAATGTGTATATAATACCGTCAAGTAGGCCTAATTAAATATTCGGTGAATTCATGACATGGAAATATGCCTGTAAAATATTGATAAACATTATTATCACGATTCAAACAACTGATTTGTCTTATGACTGGTATTAATTTCTGGACAAATTGATAGAAGACAAGTATTTTATGTTTAAATATTGACACAGTTACATATATAGACCGCTGTTTGGCTTGCTTATCGGGCTCCGTTTTGTGATATTTGGAAAGATAAACATTTGCGGTTTTCTCGGATGATCTCTATTTAAATCTTTAACAAAGCACTGTTACACCTGAAGGTGTTTGATTCTTTGGAAAACGTGTGTAAATATTGACCATAATTCATACACAAGGCAAGCAGGGTATACAATGTAACTGCATGAATGTATTTGATAGAGTGTTTTCTCATGAAATCAATTGGTTTTGGATTGTGAGAAGGTGTGCTATAGACATTATGTGACGGATAACATTCTAACTTTCTAACTAGTGGTACCATTTTTGATGCAGGATTCATTTGTGCAGCACTTGCACATCGTATTGTTTCTCCCCCAATTTTTAAGGATGCTAATATAGTGTCATTTATTTGATAAAATAAACCTCTTTTGTCCTGTTTGTTTTACCCCGATATATTGGCCTTGTGTATCGTCGCAATGGTATAATATTTCCCACTGTATTTATTACATGGTTTTCTCCTTTTAAATAGAGAGAGGACTCTAGTCTATTGTAATAAAACAACAGCCTTGCAATGCTATTTTGAGCGCTTTAAGGTTTAAGTTGTATAGTCATAGTTAAGAAAAATTCCTTATTATGTAAATAAGATACAGTGTAGCTGGGTAGTCTAAGATCTGAAGAGCAGGCTGTGTAGGGTAAATGATTTAACAAGAGAATGTATTAACTAGTATTTTTTTTGACAATCAATGCAAGTGCTGTTGAACAAGTACCATTTTTTACCATATTTTTATTCATTTTATCTTGGATAGGAAATCAGAGAATGTCTGAATGTGTTTTATAACCTTGTGTATGCCAGAAGAGGTGTTTTGACATAAGTTATGATTTCAGTACATTTAGGACGTTGTACATACAATACACAGTATATTTAGTTGGACCCAAAGCATACATGAACATGACACAATGTGCTTGTCGTGATAAGTAAACCTATTAGATTTCTCTGTTCACACAGAACTTAGTATTTCAACATTCATACGTTTCCTTCTGATCAACAGCTTGTACAAGCTATAGGGCCTTATGTAAAACTGATTTAATCAAGAAGCTTTCAACCCCTTGAAAGTCTGCAATTGAAGAGCGGGTCACAATATACACACAAAAATGTTACATTTCATGTAGGTACACATGAACTTTATATATATATATATATAGAAAAGGTCGTGTGATCAAATATTTTGTTCAAATTTGTAGTGGGCAAAGTTACTCAGCCAACAAAAGATGTCTCGTTTGGTGTATTTGTATTGACGTGGCTAATAATTTATGTTCTCCTATTTTGAATTGGATGAAGTAACTAATTTTTATTGGCATATCTTTTTGTTTTGTTTTCCTTTGTTGTTAGAAATGGCAGCTTAAGTGTGTAGTTTTCCATTTTGACAACAGTCTTCATGAAACTACATGGTGATTAATATAAGTCGGTACACAAGAGTACAGTTTGTGTTGACAGAAGGAAATTTCTTTCCTCTGTAATCAAACAGCGTTTTCTTAACATAGGGTTTGTAATTAATACAAGGATGTTTTCCTTGGTTAGGCAACATCCCTAAATCTCTGTACTTTATACATAACCCACAGGATACAGGTTACAAAGTCTCTGTTTGAGGAAGGTAAGGTTTTACGACTGAGTTTTAATAAAGCTTGAAGAACGTTTGACGATTTCTATTGGTTGTAATACCTGAACAAACCTTTCATTCTGACTAGAACAAAGAAAGGCTGTATTGTCCGAGCGATTGGTGGTTGATGGGAACCTACCTTGCAGCTAGATAAGTCACATCGCTGACCCTTGTCCAAGTTGTGCCACAAAAGTGTGCTAGCTAACGTACGTTACTCACAATACAGCTCTGTTGGTTTTAATAAAAAAAGATAAACGTATCTCCAATATCTCGACTTATTAAACAGTATCACACATACAAAACAATGGCACAGCTTTGATTTGGACAAGGAATAAATCAAATGCTGACAGATTCAGTGATAAGTCAATGGCATGCTGTATGCCATTTTACCAGGTGCCCTTATTTCAAGTCCTGCATACTGTTATGATGGGAGTGTTATTTCAGTATGTAAATGGTGGTAATGTTACCAGGATTGACTTCATTTTGCTACAAATGGTGGCAGGTTATAGTGGGTCAATGTTTGACGTGATATTTACATGTGTATCGTGATGTTTACATGTATATGGGTAGACTTAAGTTTGGTGCACAGGTATATGGCTCTCCGACCTTCATGCTTACATTTGCATGTCGGCAAACTTGATTGCCTCATGAATGGCTTTGACCTCCATCAGAAATGTTCATGCATGCATCAATACGAAGTGAATCATTCAGTAGCAACTAATTTTTAGGAACAAATATAATTACCTTAGCCCTTTCACCACTGTAGACCATAATGGACTCATCCAGATCAATGCATGGTAGAGTCTACTAAAGTTACATAGGGGTGAAAGGGTTAGTATCTAATTTCCAAACAGCTTCATTAATCTGTTATAAAATGCTTTTTTCCAGGGGAACCGTTCTATAGTATTGTTCCCTGGAGAGTAACGCTAGCTAAACCAGGGAACTACACGTACCTCTCAGACAACACAAGAGAAAAGTTCTCTCAAGAAAAGGGCATAATAAATTTAGTTAATTACGTGATTTTTTGCCTTGCAAACCTTTTCTGATGGTAATTAGCGAATTCCTGGACTATATTTCTGAGTTATAGCATTAGACGATCCCTGAAGCAAGTGATAAATTACGTTAAACATAAGAATATATTACCAAGAAAATTGTTGTCTTGTGGGTCTCTTGAAATTCTTTGCTCCGTTTGATACAAAACCATAGGTTAACAACACGACCAATGATTTTTCCTTCACTTTTCGAGACATTACACTAAAATTAGCTATTTAAGCCTTTCATTTCACAGACGGTACTCAGGACATACAGTAAATATACGTGTGTACATGTATACTATGAATTATAGTAAAACAAAAGTATATAGTAAATAAACATAAATGTTTTATGTGTCAAGCACCTGTGGTTTGATTCGGTAATTTTTTCATGACTAAACTGTTATGTCAAACTCCCTGTTGCTGCATGAACTGTACTTAATAGAACAGTAATGGCAGATTCTGTATACGTTCTTGAACTAAATGCTTTGCTGTTCTGAATTTTCCATTTCAAAACTTTGGTGCTGACGTCATTTTACTATTATTATTGTTTGCTAATTAGGTGTCAAGTTCAGAATGGGAAAAAAATACGAACTTACATATATAAATGTACAGAAAACTATGACGTCAAAATGTTTTTTATCAGGTTATACCATCTGTGTTTTCCTGGCATTCATTTTATTTTGAAGTTGCAAATTTGTATAAAATATAGACAGATACCTTTAATTCATCTCATACATATTGTAGAGCTCATTCATAATAAATGCATGCAGATTTACAGTGAAAAAATGGAGCCTGAAGATTTTCAAAAAGGTCTGACAAATAGCAGAATGATATATCAACCTGAACGCACCTTTCATTTGTTTAATGATAGGTGTAATAGAACATCACATAAAATGTGTTTGATAAAGTATAGTAGCTGTCCCTGTGGACCCAGCAGTAAAAAGCTTGTTGTTAATGAGTGTGGTGTTGTGTTGATGTAGAGTAATTAAAGATGGTGACAGAACATTTCAAGTTTAAAACACAGCATTCTTTGATGATTATTAAAAGTCTGCCGGGGAAATTATCACAAGATTTGTATATATCGGGATCAAAAACAAAAAAAAAGATCTTTTCCATAACTATTAGAAAATCATTAAATGTGATTCCGATATTTTTTTGTAGCATGTGGAAGATATGGGCCTCGTCATGGTGGTCCTGTGTGACTACCAGGGACGCAAGTTCCAGCAAAGAAGCCCCTCCTTGGGGGAGGACCTTGACCCAGTGGCTCAACAGGTCGAGGAAGCTATCGCCGAGTGCAAGATCAAGCTCAATGCCTGCTTTGCCAGACATAGGATCAAAGCTTCCGCACCCTCAATAGAGCACCTACTGCCAGACCTGGTCAGGTCCAAGGAGGAAATCCGCTCACAGATGCCAATGTATCTCTGGGTCAACCAGAACAAGCTAAGGTATATACATAACATTTCATATATGCACAATGTACAAACATACTAACTCAGGTATAGAACTGTCAGTCCATTGATCTAGTGGTCAGCTAGCTAGAACATACTGACATGTATCTCAGGTTCAAAATTCAAATGGTCCTATTCTAATTCTAAATCCCAGCGGGTCCATGAACGTTCTTCGGAAATGAATGATGTTGGTATCATTCTCCAGCGACCTTCTGTAAGTTATGTGGAAAGTTTTGGCTGGAATTAATATCCTGATGTCACTTCAGACTTGTAGCATCAACACACTAACAAGGAAGAGGTAGCATCAACACACTAACAAGGAAGAGAGGGCCTGAGATTTTTGTCTTTGTATCCTCTGCAGGTTCGGGAAAACCATGCAGATATAGGCCTACTATATCCACTGCGTGTAATTGTAATATTCTGCAGGTGGGCCCTGCTAATAGTCACCTAGGGTTTTCTTCGTGTCCTAGCTCTGTTTAGGGGACACTGAAGGAATCAGAATTGATCTGGTCTCATTGCAACACTTGGGATGTGTTTCTCACACCCTTTACAGGTGTCACTGTCTCCCGTTTTTACTGGGAAAGATAAGTGTTTCACCCCCTAGGGGAAGACAGCCTCAGAGCCTTGGGTTAGACAACTAAAAAACATCACCCCTCGGGTTGGAGATTTCTCTGTCACACCCTCAAGATAGGGGAAGATTCTATTAATCCTTTCTCACTCCGCGATCCCCTCCTCTTTGATAGTCTCTCTGGGAACCCATCTTCATGTAACTTTAGCCGTTGTTAGAAGTTTAAATCCCAAACAATTTTGTGTTTGTGACCATCATAATTTGAATTTGTGTATGTTTCCTTTATATTGAAAAAAAGGTTTACACTTTTCAATAATAAACCAATTCATTAAAATGCAGGAAAACCTACTTAACAAATTTAAAGCTTAATTTTAAAAAAGACACGCGTCATTTATTCATTGAAGTGTATTACCACATCGATACAAAAGTACCCATTCCTACATACCTTTGTGTAACTATAGCGTGCTTAAATATTGTATGAACAAATAAAGCACACCTTTTGCCGATACATTGTTTCTTTGTTTAATTGAAAACAAACATAAATTGTTCAATAGAAAGCAAATGTTTCGATATCAATGATATTTGAATTCCTTCCTGAGCCTTTGTCTCTGTGTGGTCAACAAGTGCAGTTCTGGAAATATCCTAACAGATGTGTCCTTTAGATATTGTTACCAACGTCATAACAAGGCTTTAACAGCTTAAGCCCTTTGGAGAGCAATGATGGAGTCAAGAGATTTCATCTGTCGGTGTTCACACAGTACAGAAAGTCAGAACCATAAATATCAGGCTGATGTGGACCGTCTGTAGGCCGAGGTGATGATGTACGAGAGTAGACTTGTCGACTGAACGAACACATGGAGGTCTTATAATTCCAATGTATAGACAGCACTATATTGTCAGAGTATATATTGGTACCATAATTTCAGGAAAAAATGTCATGAAGAGCTTACAACCAGTGCATGTAAGACAAAAATTACAACACTTGTATTATCCAACACCTGTACACCTGGATCAGGGTCATAAATCCCTGGCCATCAGCATTTCTTCATGTGTAAACATCTGATTGGAGGAGCAGATTGACTTTCTTGGTAACTGTAGCTGTCAATCGCCTATGTCAATATGTTAAAAGCAGAAGAAAAAACCCAGCCATAAATATTGAAAAAGCACTTGGCAGTGGGACCCTAACTGTTGTTTGGGGAGAATAAAACAAACACGTAATCTTGACAACAGAACAGGTTTCCTGGTCACAGGTTGTTATTAGAGGAGGGCAGCTGAGATTTATACTGGCATTTATTTAGTGTCCGAAAATATCAATAGCATGAAAAGGACGATCAATTATCAATGTTTCTGACTGCTTAAATGTGACAATACCGAGTCGCTGATCTTGACAACAGTATTTTGTTGCCTGTTCAGCAATCTTGATTTAGACGTATGACATATTGGAACACTTAAAGCATGCATAAGTAAGAAGAATGCAGTGGTGCAATATGTTATTGGTTAAACAGACAGATATACAATTTGTACACCAGTAAACATAGAAACAAGTAACCAAAACAAATATAAACAATACTAATCCAAATTCAGACTTACACAAGGCTTATAAGTTATAGCCTCTAAGCAGGAAAAATCCTTGTCTTTTAAGTCTTTTCTTGAACCTGGAGATTGTTGTTCTGTGGGTGCAACCAACTTCTGCTAGGACTGGTTAAGGAATCAAACCCAGGACTACTTGTTTGCTTGCTGTGGACTCAATTTTATATTTTTTGTCTACAGATGATTAGTTTTTAAGTTCAAATAGCACCAGAAAACGTAATACAAACTCCAAAGTCAGTGTTTTGTTTACGTTTTTAGAAAATGTCACGTGCGACGACTAATAAATGCATTCTGTTTTGGACTATAAGGAAACAATTCACCCTAAAGAAATACTTGTTTTCATATAAATTCCAAAGGTAATTATCATAAAATGTTAATATGCTGGCAAATAAATATTCATTTGAAGTGTAAGATACTGCAAAATTCAAGCCTTGATCCCATTTGGGTCCTGACATTTGCAAAAACCGGAACCGCTGATAGGTGACTTCAGAGTGTTCTAAAAATATTTCACGTGAGCCCCGGGTGCTAATTTTTTTGTAAGAAATGAATATAATTCATCCCAAGAATTTTCAATGAATGAATAAAATGATGGTTTGGAGATCCGATTTGGGTACTGTCACCTTATCCTACCAATTATAAAAGGAATTACCTGTTAATCTATAACCATGGTCTACCATATACAAGTAACCACCTGTGGGTCTATGTGTCTGTAACTATAGGGTCATCTGTAGGACTCGCCATCACCTGTATGTATATACCTGTATAAGTCTATACCTGTACAAGTCTATACCTAGGGTCATCCTTAGGACTCCTCGACTGGGTCAGTAAATAAATAATGGAGTGTTTAATTATGAGGGTGGAGAGATATAACATGCTTTCTTATTGATTCTGGCCTGGAACTTCGGCATGTAACCTCAACATAACCCTATTGTCTTTCCTGGATCATCATCGATGAACTGGCATCTTGTGTTCCCAGACTCCTCAACTTGATTCGATACAAATGAATGTACTAATAAGAAGTTGTAAGGAACTTTAATATTTTGTCTGCACACTATCACCCACTTAGTCGTCAAACAGTTACGGTTTAGGTCGGAACTGGTTCTCGTGCAAACATTTAAAAGTTCTGTCAAGTAAAGGAAGTTATGGTTTCTACATATTTTTGAAGTTTAAAGCTGCTAATGCTTTGACAAAGTGACTGCTGATAAACTGTTGCTGGATATTAGGGCCATCGGTAAATCACACTTTGTAGATTAAAATCCAATAAACCTTGTTTATTGAAGTCACAACAGGCTGCATAAGCCAGATAGGAATCCAACTAGATATTTATTACTTGAATGGCATTTTAATTTGGTTTTATTACAGTGGAGAGATTGGGGTAAAACTGATATTGAGCTGGTGAGGTGACGACCTTAGTCTGCACAGTGTTACGTTTGTTTACGATCCACAGGTGTTATGTAATCACATTGATTACTAGGCTGTGTACAACGTCTCTAACATGAAAATCGGCTGTTTTGTCAAGGTCATTGTATATCTTTCTGAAAACACAATATTAGCTAGAAGAAGAAACAGCATCTTGGGGGGAGGNAAAGAAATTTCAGCTTTCATTCATATGTTTGTGTGAAGCCAGCAGGGTTATATGTACAGTAGTGTTAATACCCGAGGATTGCCGAGGGTTTTACTTAAGCTTCTAGCTCATGAGTTGTGAATTCATTCGTCTCTTTCACATATAAGTATGAAACAGCACTTTTCTGTCAAATTCTCTCTTCAAGAAAGCATTCATTTTGAATATTGATGTGGGAAAATTTCAATTCCCTAACAGCTTCTATATTTGACCTGACATCATTGCAGGGGTGTACCATACCACTAGCCCAGCGCCTTGGCCTAGTTGATGTTATGTTGGGGCTAGCAAAAATGTTTAATATAACTGTTTAGATATAGGTTGGACTAGGTAGAAATTTTCAAAATTAAACTGACCTATAGTACTCTAGAGACGAAACTGTAAACCGCCATCATTAATTAAAACTGTGATATTTGGCATTTTCTTATCATAGACATTGATACATCATATTTTAATAAATGAAAATTCCATACACTCCCCCCAGTTGTTCTGCTGACAATACACACGAGGCACCAATTCCTACATCATTAGCTAGCTAGGCTGACTATCGCAACTTGACATATAGTGGGAGGCATGGCCCCGGACATAGCAGTTTGAGTTGTCCTGTCTAAATTTTTGGTTAGTCTGAGTGATAGACTGAGACAAGATAAATGATGCAAGAGCAAATTTGCTTTCAGATTATCAATTTAGCTCTTCATAGTAAACTAATTATTGTGGTTATATCAACATATTCTTACTGGGCCATGCTTTCTTATAAATTCTTTGTTATATCTTTATAGAAGTTTACATAGATTCAAGAAAACAATTATATGTCACATGAAAAAATATTGAAATAAATGTATATTTTTAAAAGTGAAGATTTGCTAAATAACCCGTCTAGTGTAGAGTGAAACATCATTATACTGCCTCCATTTTCTAGCATTATTTTGGTGGGTAATTATAATATGTATAAGTTTGTTTACCTGGTCACCTTTTTGTTGTTTTTTCCCTGTTTACAGTTTGTTGTGCTGTTTATTTCATATTTGTTGTTTTTTCCCTGTTTACAGTGTATCGGAAGCAATGGAGCTGTTTAAGGACGAGGGGTTCACACTGGTGGGTTCTGATGACTGTGTGGAAGGGGAGAAGTTCTGTGTAGATTCTATGTGTAGCGATGTGTTCCAGTTCCCCCCAGACAAACGCGAGTACCTTCTCCAACATGACCTTGTCATGGCTGGCAAGGTCGTTCTGCAGGTAAGAAAATACACATTGCAAATTACAGATCCATCATTATCCACCGATGACAAATGGTGTGTTATTAGGTCCTCTGTGCTTTAGGTAATTTGATCCTTTTTTTACAAGAGGTAGTAATATAGTTGGCTGCTTGGTATTGAGTTGTACAGTTTGAGCTCAACTCTGTAGGAGAACATATTTATTTACTCAATCACCCCTGAAACTGTATAATGAACTGTTCCAACCTTTGAATTGGAAGAGTTCAGATGTGTCTTCAGGGGTGAATGAGTTAAAGATCATGCTTATTGCATCATGAGATCAGAGAATATAATTTGCAGTCTTCTGTCATAATCATTATATTGACCTAGCTAGCTTATTGTTTATTATATCACATTTTCTGTTTGATATTTTAATATATGTACTATTTTCACCAAAGTATAATATTTTCTGTGTTTTTCAGGATAAGTCCAGTAGTGTAGCTCCGCACTCGGTGAAGTACCTTATAGGGGACGATAGTGATGTCATACATGTCAACATCGGGTCTGGGATGACCACTGCCCATCTGTCTAGCCTCATGCAAGCTGGCTCTGGCCATATTTGGGCATTTGGTAACAAGTCATCATCGTCACAATTTCAAAAGAACATGGAGAAACTTGGCATCAAAGGTAAATATTCCTAAATACAAGGCCCAATCGCCAATGCTTTGACTTAAGCTGAAGATGAGTTTGAGCAAAATTCTATATTGGACATGACTTTATAATCATGAGTTTTAAATTCAGCTTGAAACAGACTGCAAATTAAAGTAATCGTTCAGATCGAGGTAAACTCCTATTGTTTGTGATGGTCGGTTGGTTGGTTGAGGTGTTTTACGTCTACCCTTCACTGACAAAGTTGGTGTTAAGTCGACGTGAGAGGGGTAAGTTGCTGCTTACCAGGCCCTTGGAGATCCAAATGTTCTGCCCATCCAGGTCATGCTCTCAGGTCGGACAGCTCCTTAGATGCGGACAGGCTGTCACAGCTACATCGGTCTACGGAACGACGTCCTTTGTGTAGTCCTTGCTGTCCTCCTATGAGTGTTTGTGATATATGAACAATGTTTATTAACACCCCAATACTAAGTTAAAGTTCTGCTTGAGACAAAATCCAAGTGTTTGTTATAACGGCCTGTTAAGTAAGCTCATCTTGAGATGAACTCCAAGTAAGTTTCATATAGCTAGTGTGGCCTGATAAGTTTAAGCTCAGCTTGAGACAGTCTCAATGTGTTGTTGATTTATGGCTCGTAGTACGGCTACTTACTTACTTAAACATTAAGATGCAAACAAGCAGCTCATTTAAGATTCTATTGGCATGAAATTGATTTTCTTTAACTGTATATATGAACTTAACTACCCTAGTGGTCCACAAAAAGCCAACTCTTTGTCCTGAAATACTAGGAAGTTTTAACAAAACAGCTGGTAATAGCAATGCAATGCATATTGTTACAAAGTTCCTTTAATGCAGTCCCATTATTTATAAGAAATTGATTTCATTATATAAATCTGACATAATATTTAGCTAAAACAAAGTTCAGAAGAAGCGGCTAAATTTGCTTTAGAGCATATAGGACCAATATATATAAATATACCTCTTAACTTAATTATTTGAAAAAGTGGAATAAAAATGTTGATTATCTGGCACGGAAATCCAATATCCTACAGCCAATACTGTAAAATCATAAATTTTCGTTGGACATAAATTTAGTTTATTTCGTGGATAACAAAAATCCACGAAATTAAATCCCCACAAAAACATCAATTTGGTATGATATAGATATAGAGGAAAATCAGAAATCAGCGAAATATAATGTTCTTGAAACAGACAAGTATATGAAAACCACGAAATTTTAACCCCACGAAAATAAATGATTCTACAGTAGTCTGTGGTCTGTCTGGTACAGGAATCGGATGTGGATATCACAAGGGTATTCAAACAGAGCTCCATCCAACAGTTACGAATTCAATAAACTAAACGAAGGAGCATCATAAACTATACCACACCTGTATGTTCTAAATCTTCTAAACTCACAGTGTTTGATACATGTTTGGTAGCAAAACAGTTAGAAGATGTATAAACAGGTGTTGTAAGCAAACCAACCGGACCAGAATTACCTACTGCCTATATAGGGTCTATACAACAGGTGGCCGGTCATGTCTGCTTGGTATTCACTTAAATGTCCAAGTACAAATATTTGATCTTCTCCAATCTTTGACAACTAAGTGAAGTCTAGAACAAGTGTTTGGATTGCTCTTGCACTTGCTATATAGGTAGGCCTGTAAATTCCTCTGTGGCAATCAACTGTTAGGTAATACAGCATTACTGTGTTGGAAGATGTCTGGTGTCGATGGAATCTTGTATATATATTGTGTTGTCACTCTATTAAATATGATATCAAAATGATTACACAATGCATCTCTCTAGACTGTAGCTGGGGGATATGAATGCTTTCAGGTCTTATGTGTTTTTCAATATCGTGGTTATAGAGTATTTATTCTTCCTTCAGACTATGGTCCAGTCTGTCCTTTATTTTGCCGTCAATTAATCCCTCTTTTGGCAGTCGAGATCCTCCAATGGTACTCTTGTTAGTACCATCTTCTGCGAGTCAAACACTCCTGGACGGGTATTCCAGGTAGCAGGGTATTTCAAAATTCAACCATGTTAAACACGATCTTAGTTCCGTTCTCATCCGGTTATGTTTACATTACAAAATGTAATTGCTAATCTATTACCCAGTGATTCAAAATCTGTTTAAGGTAATTAATCTTTTACCCTAATTCCGATTCCTTGTGGTTACATAAGAAAGATGGAGGATAAGTTGTTTGAGTTGGCAGTGGTTGAGCATCAAGTGGCGATTATATTAAGAGTTGAATTGCCACTTGAAGTCTAGTTAAGGAGAGATATAGGGGCTCAGGGATCAGTGGGGCTCAGATTGGCTATCTATTGTCTTGTATTAGGGTCCAGGTTCATTTTATATGTATAGACAGGAACAAAACACATTCTGTCAGCTTCCTGAAATTGTTTCATGGTAATAAACTTCTTTAACAGAAGTGTCTCTAAATTAGGAGCCAGCTATTTTATAACTTTTTACCAACTTTGGTTCAAATCAATACACATAAAAATGCTGAACAGTGCTTTTTCTGTTGACGTAAAGAGGCTGTAGATTATAACTCACGATCATGGAAAAATCATTTCCTCAATAGTGATGATTTATATTCTGGCTGAAGAATTTATAACAACTGAAACATATCAGGCAGAAACCTACTCGCGCGATCGGGCACTTGTGTTTATATACAATACTCATTTACGTCATAGGTTCCGTATCCCATAAAAACAGGCTTATCAAAAACACATTCCGGACCTTTCACATGTAATTTTACATTTCCTTAACAAATGATGTATTGTTGACGAAGAATTCTATACTCTGTGTGTAGCATGTTATTTTTAGGTGAAATTATCCATGTCAAAGGGCTCAAAAACGATATTGATCGCACTCTGTTTGCCCTTTGTAGTAAGGATATCGCTATTATGCGATGGTCTATGCAAGGAAATTGACTTCAGACTTTAAATCCTTCATTGATTATTTGGAAGTTCAAATTCTTACATGGATCGCTGTTTGAAATGTCAAAGCTACTTAACTTTTTCCTATTACTGAAGAGGGAGTCCTTTCAAGTCCTATAGACAGACGATATAACTGGGGTTTATATACCTTTAGCTGTCTGGTGAGGCGGTTACATTAATGGATGTTCTATCAATCGGTTGCGGAGATATGTGAAATGTTGGGTTGTATATAGGGGTTGTTGTCCTGGGTAATGGTCCTAACATGATTTACCCTGCTGATGTTAATTGGTTGTGGACATACCTGTGTCATGCCCATCCGGGATCTTCTATGTCTGATAAATTGGTTACGTCAAAAATGATGAGACATCACACTTTCTAACCTTTCCAATTTTTCAAGGGGAGAAATCAGATGGCAGAATCCAAAAATGCCCAAGAAGTACTTACAATGACTGCTTTAGGCAAAACTTTTTCATAAAATGCCACAGTTCCTGCTGTTCTTCGCAATTCATCAATTGGCTTAGAACAAAATGCAAGATGTTTTTCAAATTGAGGATGACATCTTTAGAGTCTCCATCCAAAGTAGGGAGACTGAAGAAGTTTGGGACATTATCTGATCTTTTATCCCAATAGTCTTGTCTTGAATTAACGTGTGATTTAGTTGGGATGACACACATCATAGATAGGTAATCTCATGTTTCAAGATTTAGGGAAAAATAAGTTGCTGTGAAGCTTAAAAAGATGTGAACCAGTAACAGTATTTGTATAATTTAGGTACAGAGATCTACTTTTGTGAACCATTTGCTATATTAATAGATGCAAGTTTTTCATTTTTCATTGAAAGTTGTAAAGTGTATGTAATTATGAGGTGTCTTTGCTTTAAGGTTAGGCTGACAGGCCTTAGGCCAAATGAAACGGGTCAACTTTCGTAAATTAAAATGGAAGTGTAATACTGGTAGGGTGAATTTCAACAAACCGAAACAAGGGCTGAACAGGGTGTTTTTTTGTGCTTTCTGTTCTAAGTTGAATAATGATGTATATTTAATTATTCCTACAGACATTACAATGATAGAGGCCATTCAGGGGTGTAGTGTTAGAATATAATAACCCTGTACTACAAACATCAAAGACATCCAGGACACCGCTATTACACGCCTAGCCATCAAAGAGTGTCAAACATCTTTCACTTTCCGACTTCGATCAGTATTTAAGTCAGGTCTTTGACCGTTAAATCTCAATAACGTGACACACCTGTGTAACAGAACACATTTTTTCCTGGGTGGAGTTCGATCTACTTGAAAGTGAATTCGCACGATTGGCCACCGAAATGCATGAGGTCATTATTGAACAGTTTCAAACTGACTAAGGTCATTCTGGTTGGTCAGTCTGGCCGTGTCATTGTGTAGAGGTCATTAAACAGTAATGTTTCCTTTACTGCTGCGTAAGATTGAGGTAACAGGATGTTATTGTTGGAAAACTGCCAAGTAACCCATTTCGTTAAAAACGTAACTGGGTCTTTGCAACCAGATATACCTTTTTATTTCCAGTAGGTAATATGTTCAGTAATAAAAATAGACAGGGAAAAGGAAATCAAAGTCAATGCGACATGATAAAGAAAAAGATCAGTTGGAAATAGAATGTTTTAAAGCTGATAACATTAAAAGATTGGGCGGTACGTTAGGACACATTTCACAGGATGGAGGAGTTATAATCAATGAATAGTGTACAATTTTAAAGAGCATCTTAAAGATTCCCAAATTTCTGTTTTTCATAACCTTTATTAAAAAGTTTGTGTAAGTGAGTCAACCTATATTGTTTGAATATGACAAATGACCCTAGATCACAACAGCTGCCCATTACCTGCAAGTGTACTGTTTATATACTTGCCAACTCTCCCAATTTTGGACTCTAAAATTGAGCATTTGCAACCAGTGAATTTGCTTATAATATATAGCTATTCCTATATTCAAACATCTAATGATTTCATATGAATGAACAGCACGAAAGATGCCATTTAAAAGTGTAGTTTTTCCCCTAGAGTGTACTAATTCTGAGCATGCGTAATCTCCCCCATGGAAATTTCAAAAAGTTGGCAAGTATGACTGTTACAGGTGTTACTAGTATTATAAACAGATAAAGTTGTAAACAGTGACTGAAGAGTCCCAAGTAAAACAGATATAACTCTAACTACCATTTACATTGATTGTTTCAGGTGTGAAGATGCTGACTGAGCCATTCCTCGGTGTGGAACCTGACGACACACGGTTTAAAAACGTCAAGGTCATCCTGATAACAGCCGACTGCAGTAAATCTGGAATCACTAACCCTATCGATTTCATCGTTAATGAGGGCGAAGGTAAATATTACAATATACTTTAACAGTCAAATAACTTAATTAATTGGCATGATTTTTCTTTTCTTCATTAATATTGTCATTGTTTTTGCTGTAAATTACTGGTGACATTTTTTCACTGGATATGTAAAAAATATGGATTTTCTTTTTATTTTGTTGTTTGTCAAAGCCATTTAGGTAACAAATCAACATTTGTTTACCACCACCTACCATAACATTGTTAGAATATATTATATGTCTGTATTATGTTGGATGGTTGGGTGGCGAAGTGAATAGGGCATTTGCATTTCACCAGGATGACTGGGATTTGATTCCCTGATAGGAGATGACCACGTATGTTGGTTTTCTCTCTGTAATTTCCAGTTTCCTCCCACATTAAAACCCCCAGTGACATGCTACCATCAAGGTCATAAAAGTTGTTGTAAAATTATAAAGTTTAATCCTTTCACCACTGTAGACCATAATGGACACATCCATATCAATGCATGGTAGAGTCCACTTAAGTTACATAGGGGTGAAAGGGTTGATTTGCTTTGTATTTTTGTGTGATATTAATGTAACACACTTATGCCACTATTGGAAAAATGAGTTGGTATCTTTATAATGTGGTATATATATAAATGTTGACAGACATGAAAATCCTGAAGGATCTGTCTGTGGGGGAAACAGACGAGACTAAACTGGGAGAACTGGCCGGTCAGCATAATGAACTCCTCAAACACGCCATGAAATGTAAGTCTCTATACATCCTTAAACATGTCATGTTGGTACAGTTAACTCAAAACATCATCTCAAACATGTTATGAAATGTGAGTCAGTATCTCAAACTCGCCATGAGATGGGTGTCAGTGAAATATCTAACACACCATGAGATGGGTGTCAGTGAAATCTCTAATACACCATGAGATGGGTGTCAGTGTAATCTCTAACACACCATGAGATGGGTGTCAGTGAAATCTCTAACACACCATGAGATGGATGTCAGTGTAATCTCTTACACACCATGAGATGGGTGTCAGTGAAATCTCTTACACACCATGAGATGGGTGTCAGTGAAATCTCTAACACACCATGAGATGGGTGTCAGTGTAATCTCTAAAACACCATGAGATGGGTGTATGTGTAATCTCTAACACACCATGAGATGGGTGTCAGTGTAATCTCTAACACACCATGAGATGGGTGTCAGTGTATACATTATCTCTAACACACCATGAGATGGGTGTCAGTGTAATTTCTAACACACCATGAGATGGGTGTCAGTGTAATCTCTAACACACCATGAGATGGGAGTCAGTGTAATCCCTAACACACCATGAGATGGGTGTCAGTGACATCTCCAACACACCATGAGATGGGTGTCAGTGAAATCTCTAACTCACCATGAGATGGTTGTCAGTGAAATCTCTAACACACCATGAGATGGTTGTCAGTGAAATCTCTAACACACCATGAAAGTCAGTATAATCCTCAAACACCATAAAATGTAATTTGATCTAAAGCATGACTTGCAGAAAAGGATGCATTTAAATCTCTACCTTAAAAATCTTATGATGTCCTGATAGATTTTATTTCTAAGATTATTTGTTGTTTGTTGTTCAGTTAACAAGGCACAGGCTGTGGTCTACATGACGCGGTCGGTACACGAGGTGGAGAATGAGAATGTGGTGACTAAATCTATAGAATACATCAACATGGTACAGAAGAGGTCCTTCCCATACAGAGTGGTCCCCCCTGTCCTTCCCTTTACAGGGGACGCAATTGAAAACAAGATGGGGATACATGGGAAGTACATCAAGTTCTTCCCCACAGATAAGACCAGTGGATGTTTTGTAACTGTGATAACTCGAGAGGTCAGTATGTGAAAGGGAAGTGTTATGGTCATAAAGGTTTACAGATTCCAACTCTGATTGAGAAAATAAGAATCATAAGATTTTTTTATTTTTTTTGAACAGTGGAATATCTTCTTGGTTGACTGAGGAAAAAATATTTCTACAGTAAACTCCAATTGTGTTGTACTTAATGCAACACAATTCCCACATCTTAAGGAAACGAAGCATTAATTGAACAGAAACAAGTCATCTAGAATTTTGTTTAAATTAAATTTGAGCCATATGTTCTATAGGTACTATTTAGTACTATTTAAGAGCTGATTACTATTTTAAGATACTTATTATCCAAACATTTGTTTTTAATGATTGATGAGAGCAGATTTTTTGTATTGTTAAATGGAAACATTTATTGTAAAATTGAACTATTTTCTGTATAATTCAGCCTGAAGATGCTAAGGAAGCTGCCAAGGACGTTCTTGCCCGAGCACAAGCCAAGGGTCTACTGAGTGGCAAGAAACAGAAGGAATCAAAGCTCTCTTTTGAGGACCTTAACGGGGAGGTCACAGGGGGCTTGACCAATGGCCATAGTGACACTGACAGTAAACTGCTGCACAAACGCTCAAAGAAAACGCAACGCCGTGTTCAGGTTCGAGGCACTCTGTCTGCACCTCAGTACAACAAGCTATCTTCGTATTCTAAACCCAATGCCACCAGCCCCATACATACTTATATCACCTCCAGTTTTTTTTTTGCAAAGTTATGAAAATTATTTACAACAACATTAATTGATTTTGTATGAAATAAAACTAAAGCAGTGATTTATCTCTCAGAAATGTCACCATAAAAACATTGTAAGAAAAAGGAAAACGTTTTGAAAACATTTAAATGTAAGGGTTAGGAATGGAAAACTTTAGTTCAAATTTTAAGCGTTTTGTTATACCTTGGAGTTAAGAATTACAAACCCACTTTCCCAGACCTCCTGATGTAAGGATGTTGGTCTGTTATCATTGTTACAAGTCGAGGTTCCGTCCATTACATTATAATGTATGTGCTTTCTTTCTGTGATAGAATTGTCATTCAATAAAAAAAAGTTTTAATTTGATATTTCAGAACAGTTTGAGGTTTGTGTCTTTTACACAGGTCTGAACTTGTTGAGATATATTTGTTGAGATATATTCGAATTGATGCTTGATGGTTTTAAATGTTTAATCGCATTAATACTAGATCAATTTTGATCGATGCAATGTTGTATTTAATGTAAAGTGTTTGTTTCTACATATGTATGCTATTTTCCATTCAAATTTCATAAGATTGTTTTTTTGGATGATTTCAGATTGAAAAAAAAGAATCTGTTGATTTCATACGCACAGAAACTGTTTCAAATTTTGTAAATGTTTCATCATTTCACCTGAAGTTCTTAAAAGTTATTAAGAAGCTTTTTGCAATATTTAAGCATTGGTGACATCTATACAAACCATTATGCATTATGTTCCCATAAAGTGCATGCGTGATTCAACGATCATCGTACAAAGAGTTCCATTGTGTGTGAGAACGATTTGTCAAGGGATAACATTGCATGCTTGCATGAGGTATGGTGAAACACCATGGTCACGGTAGTGAGATATACACGTCACCAGTCCCCGACTGGATGTATTGTTTATTGATGTAAACAACAGATTCACTTTGTCACCGCATTAAATTCTTATGTAATGTCATTAAAATGTATTTAAATGTTCCACAATATCATGCTTGTTTTTACACCACCACCAGAGTTAAAAAAAAAATTATGTAAGACATAAAAATTTCACATTTTTTTTCAGAGATTTTAATTTGTTTTTCCTGAACGAAAATTTCGGTGATTAAGTGACCTGGCATATCTGTGATAATGATTTCCCTATTGGTGATCATGACTGGTTTATGATACAGCACTTCCTAGATAGCCACACAGATCTGATTACACAATTCAATCAATTCTGCAATGTTTTTGATAATGCATGCTGCTCATCAATCTAACAATGTATTTGTGACCATTTGTAAGGCTAGTTTATATGAAGTCAAAGTAGCAACAAAGTCATGGTAAAAATAAAACCGATTATTAATAGAAAGAAAATCACAAATATTTGCAAAATATGGAATGAATTTACACCGAGGTCCGAGTTCAGTCAGATTGTCAAGGTCATGTAAGATATGGCCATGATTTATTTATGAATTACTAAATCAGTCACTTTTTACCTCATTGATGCAGCAAAGACAGGAAACTCAGCAAAGAAGACGTCCCAGGGCAGAGGATGTTAGAATAGTCCCCCTAACGTAGACGGGAGATGGACGTCCCACTAAGGCAGGGGTTGTCAGTTAGTGCCCCTAGCATGGGAGTGTTATAAACTGTTGGATTCTACACTGGAGGACAGACGTGTGAGGACCATTGGATTGTGTATGGTCACACTAAATCTGATGGATTCAAGGATGTTATGCAATACAAAGCATTCTAAAATAGTTCCCACTGTAATAGAAAAAGTGTCAAGACAGACAGTTCAGCTGATGTAGTCTTACAAAGTAAAAATGTGACAGAAGTAACGTCAAATATAGTTCTACAAAGTAACAAAATACCTGTAGTAAGGTGATATCCTGTAAAATGTAGTAACAAAATATACTAGTAGTAACATCAGATGCGGTTCTACAGAGTAACAAAATAATAATATAGTAACATCAAATTTAAATCTACAAAGTAACAAAATACCTGTAGTAACGTGAGATCCTNTCAATGTAGTAACAAAATATACAAGTAGTAACATCAGATGAGGGTCAACAGAGTATCAAAATAATGATATAGTAACGTCAAATGTAGTTCTACAAAGTAACAAAATCCCTGTAGTAACGTGAGATCCTGTTCTACACAGTAAAACAATATACCAGTAGTAACATTAGATGTGGTTCTACAGAGTAACAAAAATCCAAAAGCAAGTTTAAATGTCAGAGTCTTACAGAAACAAAACTGGTAGCAACCGCCTGTGTGAAATTTAAGTTCTTAGAGCAACAATTAAAATATATATACTGAAAAAGTAACAAAACATGATTCATACTGTCAGGTGTACAATGTACAGAGTAATGATATAAACAAGTTGTAATATGTCAGATGTAATTTTCTACAGATGAAAAAGACACAAAAGACATCTGTGTTGCTTTATATGTATAATATATTCTTGGCAGTGAGATATGGATTCTGTCAAAGTGATAAAACTGATATCTTCTCACACCGTGACACTGACGAATATCAAAAGATATCACTATTTAGGATCGACCAATCTGAATGACACTTTCAGATTCATTCAAATTAGCTGCAGATTTTCTGTTCAGGTACAAATAAAGTGTCGGTAGAGTAATTGGTTAGTTTCGGTAGATCTTTGCATCATACACGACCTACACAAATGATACCATTTATCAAAGCGAACCTTACCAAATTAAAGCAGAAAATGGTGGTTATTTGCCCATTCGAAATGGCGGGCCATTTTGATGTCTTTAGAATGTGACACCAAAGATTACGCTATTATATTCCTATAACTATTTTGTTGCAGTAATATTTCAATTGTTGTTAGTTGTTTTCAAATATGATAAACAGATAATTTAATGTTTCACTCAAATTGCAGAATAGGTCAATATTTTTATTCGTGTGAAAAATTTCTGTATTTTTCAGTATGGCCATTTTCAGAGAACCAAAATTTTCCACCAATTATAGCTATTTACAGCTAGTGTAAGCGACATTTGCATCAAATCCTGTCATATTGCTTCAAATGGAAAGGATAATTGTTGTTTTAGTTGAAAAATTTGCAACAGAAATTGAGAAATACTCCAATAACTAGAGGTGATTAATTATTTTATGAACATGGGGATTTTTTAGAAACCATCACAGTTTTAGGAACCCTTCAGTATACAATAAACAGCACAGACACTCTTATACACACACTTTTAATTGAGAAACCCTCGTTACACCAACCATTTATTTAGAAACCATCGCAGTCTTTATTTCATAATCCCTTAGTGTATGAGTGACTACATGTGTAGCAGAATTTCAGAAACCCTTGGTAAACTAATCGTTATTTCAGAAACGATCAGTCGTCGTTGTTAGAGAGACTCTTCAGTGCATCAATTGGGGTTATTTACCCTTTCTTTCCTGTATTATACAAAATAAAGACCTTTGTCATTATTGTATAATTTAAATCAGTTTTCAGCAATAAATAAGTATAAAATCTAACCTATAGTNTATTTTAATATGGCCATTTTCAGAGAACCAAAATGTTCCACCAATTATAGCAATTTACAGCTAGTGTAAGCGACATTTGTATCAAATCCTGTCATATTGCTTCAAATGGAAAGGATAATTGTTGTTTTAGTTGAAAAATTTGCAACAGAAATTGAGAAATACTCCAATAACTAGAGGTGATTAATAATTTAATGAACATGCAGACTTTTTTAGAAACCATCACAGTTTTAGGAACCCTTCAGTATACAATAAATAGCACAGAAACTCTTATACACAAACTTTTAATTGAGAAACCCTCGTTACACCAACCATTTATTTAGAAACCATCGCAGTCTTTATTTCATAATCCCTTAGTGTATGAGTGATTACATGTGTAGCAGAATTTCAGAAACCCTTGGTAAACTAATCGTTATTCTAGAAATGATCAGTCATCGTTGTTAGAGACTCTTCAGTGCATCAATTGGGGTTATTTACCCTTTCTTTCCTGTATTATACAAAATAAAGACCTTTGTCATTATTGTATAATTTAAATAAGTTTTAAGCAATAAAAAAGTATAAAATCTAACCTATAGTGGTGTATAGGTGTGGTTTGCTGACATTAAGGTGAAATAATGTATACCTTCGTCAACATTAAAGGACACACTTTATTTGTTCAGTTTAAAAACACTGGTAAAGGTAAACAAATATTGAATTACACATGTATGTCAGCTTACGACCCTATAAATCTTATTAAATAGGTTTGAAAAGTGCTTTAAACGTGTTAGTGTGTACAGATACTTGACACAACGTTTTAGGGGAGGGACAATAAAGGTCTATTGTCATATCTGGTACAACATCATGTTGTAGGGGAGGTACAATATAGGTCTATTGTGATGTCTGGTACAACATCATGCTTTAGGGGAGGTTGCTCAATATACATAAGTATAATATATAGTGAATATTTTTTTTTCAATTTGAGTGTTCCAGTAGTTTTAAATTGAAACTCAGGTTAGCTAAATGGAATGATTTGTTTCCATTTATGATCAGTATGTGAGAATGTAATTACATTTATCAAATTAGAAAAAGGAACAATTTTTTCAGAAATAATATATTTGATTCACTTATAATATCTGCCTTACACAATGCATTTGCAAGTTTTATACACTGACATTACTTAAAGTTGATTATAAAATATTGTGATGAAATAAAATTTAACTGATATGTTATATATATACTTCAATCTTTATATTATTTAACAAAGATTTGAAATGAAATTCTTTTACTGGCTGCAATATTGGATCCAACCTAATAACCAAATGGGACATTTCTGACAAACCAGTTTCTTTTGACAGGACGCCACATTACACTTAGCAGATAGGCTGGTTCGCACTGGCTAAACTGGAACACTAAAGTCGGAACATGCTGTATGTTTATTGTGATATCCGTTACAACACAAAGCTCAACCACAGATTTTCAAACTTTGACAGCTGTTAAATTGTATAAAATTAGGGCAAATAATACCATAC